AGTCACTTTTTAGTGCCGCTGTCACTTTGAACAGTCACTAAATGAACCGTTGTAAGACGAGGACTACCTGCATCTGCTGTTCTCAAGTCCATAGCTTCAGAATGAAGCCAGAAATTCAGTTATAAGAATTGGGGGGGGGGGGGGGGAAAAAGGGGAGAAAAAAAAAAGTTTTAATTTCCAGGGGGGGGGGGGGGGGGGGGGGAGAGTCTAACCAGTGGGAAGGTGTGTGATTGCCTCCTCAAATACAACGCAACACCGTTCTTCTTTGTGGGCAACCTCTAAAGCCTTGGACTCTTTCGACTTAGGTGCTTCTGAAGGAGGCAGGGATTCCATCTCCAGTTCCCGCCGTGCCATGAAATCCCACACAAGAGGATCATTGTCATACGTTGCCTGCAAGCTAAAAGAAAAGTTGCATTTTGCAGTATTAGCTGTGAGCGACTCCCTTCCTATAAAGCTCTGGCGTAATTGCGAGCGCTTTTGTTCCATAAAAGGTAAGCAACCATAAGCGGGAACGTTTTGCTTATGCTAACAGAACTCACACAGCGTGCACAGAAACAGGCCTTCAGCTAGAAGTACTTTGGATATTCCGAAGACTGGGAAACTACCACGCACTCTACACAAGCCGAGCGGAGTGATCTGGGAAGGAGATGTTCCTCCTTCTGTGTTCTATCTTAGAATGACATCCCTTCAGACTGGCAGCAATTTACCATTGACATGTTAAATACCTCCTAGAACGGGTGGTGGACAACTATGGCCCTTTTATGACCTGTGGACTTCAGCTCTGAGGATTGATGGCTGGCTCAGGAATTCTGGGAGTTGAAATCCACAGGTCGTAAAGGGGCCATAGCTGCCCACCCATCCCAGAAAACGGGAAACTTGGTACAGCAAGAAATGGGTTAGAGAGCACATTTTCTTTTCCCATGCTAGAAGCCTAAAAGGAATTTGTACACACCAGTTATCTCCTAACCAAAACCTCTGTAGACACAACATAGTTATGAAGATCAAGGACATTTTTTTAGTGCAAGGGAGATTCATACCATAAATCCAAACAGATTTATGCTTATCAGTTGTTTATACTCAATGGTATTCACAGCTAAGATGGTGGACCCAGAATGAAAAGATTCGGGAGGCCCATCTGACCACAGAACGTATTTGATAATTTTATCTACTTTCTGTCTCAGCCAAACAAATCTCACCATCGTACTGTTGTAAGAATAAACAAAGTAAGCTAGGGCACATTGAGCTACCAGCTGAAAGGCAGGATGCCAACAAAAATAAATACAAATAGATAAAAAGGGGGGGGGTTGAGGAGAGAGACATGCTCTTTTCTGAACAGCAGCTCCTAAATTATGTCGTTTCTTACTACTATTTTTATTTTAAGTCACATAATTCACACAGGTACATCAGGCAAATCCAGACAATTAAACGGGCAAATAAATATTTTCACACCATTGATCGTGGCCTGAAGAGGCTGATGTTTGTGGATATAAATGGCAGATGCTGTCCATTTCGGATAGCAAAATGGGCAGTATATATGTAGCATGTACAAAAATAAATAAAACAAATTACATCGGCTGTTAGATATCTGTTTAAAAGGAAGGCTGTGCTAATAAATGCCTAGACTTGAAGACATTTTCCTTTCTTATGGTATGCTAAACCTGTCTTCCTTTCCAAGGATTGGAAAGCAGCTTATGTTTGAAAAGCTGCATTAGAAAACATTCACAATAATCAATATCAACATATATTCACCAGAATATCAAAGGTATCGTTAAAAACAACTGAGCACCATGAGTGGTAATAGAATATTTCAAAGCACAGTTATTTTTAACCTATTTTCCCCTAGAAGGGAGCAAGGCTGATGCTGCAGTTCTCAAAGCTGAGTTTTTCACGGAAAGGGGGAATTTAAAAAATGGCTACAGCCTAAGAAATGAAAATCTGCCCCAACATAAGCCACTGCCAAGGACTCAATAATTTTACTTTTTAAACACATATTACAATCTTATAAATTAAAAGCAGAGCCAAGATAATAACAACACTTGCATTTTTGCACTGGAGCATCTTAGTTGAAGAGAAACAGGATTTGTTTTTGCTAGAGCTGAACCAAAAATGAGACCAGGTTTATGCGATTAATCTAATCCTGACTTCTGGAATATGGTGAAATAATTGTAAATCTTAAACATGTAGAATAGACTAACACATGATAGAATAATGGCTGCTGAATGGTAAGAGGGTGTAAACCGCACCCAGAACTTACTTTTCAAGAATTTCTTTCTGAAGATCTTGTGTAAAATCAAAACGTTTTGCAATTGACAAAAGCGAAAGTGCAAACTCTGCACCTATAATGAAGGAGGATATATCAATCAGGGCACTCTAAGCATCATAATCAGAATTGCAGCTCCCCTAATTGTACCTCTACCTCCTTGGGTATTCCCAGGCTCCTGGCCCCATCTAACATAAATGGGGTGCTGGCATGTTGCAAAATAAACTCCCTGTGCGTATTGTCAAGAACATATTCAGGCCCTGTGATTTTTATCTAGGGCATTGATGGCGAACCTTTTTGTCCTCACGTGCTGAAAGCACGCCTGTGACAGCGCACATGTGCCTGCCCACACCCATAATGCAATGCATCCTACCCCCTGCACATGCGTGTTTCCCCCCCCCCCCCCCCGTGGCCCATTTTGGGCCTAGCAGCCTCCATGAAGCCTCCTGGGACCAAAAACTGGGTGCGGGGAGGGGACCACATCCCTTTGCGCTCCCCCCGTGCATATATGCACGTCTCACACATGTGCAGCAGAGACCCAAAAATCAGCTGGCTGGTTGGAGGTGCGCATGCATGTGCTGGGCGACGGCTCGTGTGCCTGCAGAGAGGGCTCCGCATGCCACCTGTGGCATGTGTGCCATAGGTTCGCCATCACGGATCTAGAGTATGTTTGCTGTCTACATTTTGGGACCGGGTACATTGGTATTTTTCTGTTACCTAGATGCAAATCAAGTGTCAGTAACTAGATTTTCTTTGAAATGAATATTCTGTTGCAATTTGTGACATCAAATATGCAAGTTATTATCCTCAGACACTGTCTATTCCTCCTATTCATTTTCTTAGCCAATTACTTGTCTCCAAGTCTCATCAGCATTAGACACTTTATTAACCAACCAATGACATACGCTTAAAATTCCAGATATGCTTATTGGCCCAAAGAACATCAATGTTTTAAAAAAATTAAAGCATGTCTATCCTAAACCCACAAAAGGAAGTAAGAGCATTTTTACCCTAAATGAATATTGCGTAGAGAAAAGGTATCTCCCCAGTGCTTGAAGAAAATACAGATAGTCCTCGAGTTATGACCACAATTGAGCCCAAAATGTCTATTGCTATGTGAGACAGATGTTAAATGAGCTTTGCCCCATTTTAAGTCTTTTCTTGACTCAGTTGTTAAATGAATCACTGCAGATGTTAAGTTAGCAATCCAGTTGTTAAATGAATCTGGCTTCCCCATTGCCTTTGCTTGCCGGAAGGTTGTAAAAGATGTTCATGTGACCCCGGGACACTGGCATTGTCATAAATAAGAGTCTGTTGCCAAGCATCTGGATTGTAATCATATAACCGTGGGGATGCTGCAACAGACATAAATGGGAAAAATGATCATAAGTCACTTTTTTTCAGTGATGTTTGTAACTTGGAACAGTCCACTAAATGAACTGTTGAAGTTGAGGATACCTGCATTTGCTCACTTACACATTTTTGCATTTTTAGGATTCATAGATAGCTGACTAGCTAATTTGTCTAACCAACCATTCTGAGTGACCAGATTTCGATGCATCAAGAAGGTACCATTGAGCTGTTTGGTGTAGTGGTTAAGGCACCGGGTTAAAAACTGGGAGACTGAGTTCCAATCCCGCCTTAGACAGGAAACCAGCTGGGTGATCTTGGGCCAGTCACTCTCTCTCAGCCCTAGGGAGAAGGCAATGGCAAACCACTTTTGAAATCTTACTAAGGAAACTGCAGGGACCAATCCAGGAAGTTGCCAGGAGTCAAAAATGACTTGAAGTGATCAAATATTTTAAAAAATTGAGATGTACTCATTTTGAAAAGTAAAAGAACAACACAACGTACAAGCGGATATGATTACAAGTTAAAGGGTAATAGGTTACCTTTGATTTTTTCAACTGCATTTCGGTAGACAATTCTAGCCAGTTCACCATTAAGGATGTCCTCAGAAAAACTGAACTCACCCTACAAATCAAGAGAATATGGCTCTTTTATGATTAACATTTTTTTTCTTGGATTTTTCCAGAGAAAACTTTACAGCATTGTCTGCAAACATGAACACAATCACCCTACAGGTAACCCACAAAAGGAAGACAACTTCGGATTTCAAAAACCCTCAGCTATCTTCTGGAATGAGGCCAGAATGGTTGCTGGGAGAAGGGGGGGGGGCTCGTGGGGAGGAACACAACTGAGAAGCGCTAACTCAGACCCCCACTAACCTCAATTTCTTGGGTCATGGGAATCCCAACGCTCCCATCTAGGATGAGCATATACACAGACCAGTTCTACTGGAGAAAGCAATCTTGAATGGACCTCAAGGCCAAGCCATTTAGGGTACTCTAAGGGTCAAACCCAAAATTTTGGATGATAACCTCAGTGACAATGCCTGCAGTGGAATTTGGGAGGAACTGCTCTTATATATCAGCAGGCCAGCCATTGCTTTCTGTACCAGCTGTGGCTTCTGAGTAGTTATTTTCATACTGAACGTTCTCTGCTGTGGAAAATANGGCCCGGCACCGGTCCGCGGACCGGGGGTTGGGGACCACTGCTGTAACTAACCAAGTCGCATCCTTTAACAATGAGTGCAAGGACTCAAAATTATATATGCACCCCAGCAACACTTTTGTCTTGATTAATTAGGTCAGTTTTGTGGACTGCCTCTCTTTCTCCAACTACTGTCATTTAACCAGAAAAAGCCTTCAGAAAAAAATAATATCATAATTGAAAGATAGGAATACATCATTGGAATTTACTGCTGCCAATAGCTTGCCATATATGGACAGTGTACATGGCGTTCAAATGTTAAGAGCATGAAGACAACCTGATAACATAACTCCAAATGCAAATGTGTTGTCTTTTGGCTGGTGGGATTTTTAAAAAAAACTAACATTTCTTCTGCATTTCCATTAGGCAAAGAAAAACATGGTTTTCTCATTTTTGCTAAAAAAAATATTTTTTTCCATTATACGTATAGCAACTACTAGCATTACCTAACCATTACTGAGGCAATATAGTGTGTGTGTCTCTATTAGTACTATATTGGAAGAACAATGATCGGATAATTGTCAAAAATACTCTCAAGCTGCTGATTAAAAATGGCACTGAAGACCATCTGGGTGACTTTGGGCCAATCACTTTCTCTCAACCCAACTCACAGCACAGACTTGTGGGGAAAATAGGAGATGGAAGGTGGACTGTTATATTTGCCGCCTTGAGTTGTATAAGAAAAAAAAGTGGGATGAATTTTATTTTATTTTTAAATCTACCTCTTTTTCTCCTGAAACATATAAGCATAGAGGAAGTCCTCCTTAGTGACTGCAACTGGTACTGGCAACTCTGCCATTAAATGATGTGGGTTGCTAAGCAAAACATCATGTGACCAAACTTGCCACATTACTTATGCTGTGATCGTTAAACAAATCACCCACATTACCACAACTTGTGTTTTTACTGCCATTGACTTTATTTGTCAGAAGACATTTATGAAACATACAAATAGTGCTCACATGACCATGGGACACGGTGATGGTGGTAAATGCCCACCACTTGTGAAGTGTCTGAACCTTGATCACATGACCACAGGGACGTTGTAACGGTCGTGGATGTGAGGTCATAAAGTTGCTTTTTCAGTGCTGTGGTAACTTTGAACAACTGCTAAACAAGGCAGTTAAGCAAGGTCTACCTGTACACCCAAGAACACCTTGTAATCTATAACTCAAAGATAAAATTTCCCAGCAAAGATGAACAACCCTGATGATATTTTATTCTTCGTGACAAGGAACAGATCATCGTATTTGTCCTATACGTTACTGCAGAGAGAGAAGGGAGGGAGAACCACCTGCCTACCTCTTGATAAAGTTTAGGAGAGTCAGGATGGAAACGCAATGCACGAAGGAACAACTGCCGAGCACTTTCTGATGACAGGCGGTCTTCCATCTCCCATTTTGCAGCCATGATCCACAAAGCTGATCAAAGAGACAGAAAAGATTATAGAAGACAGCCAATACAAGAATGGGGCATCAAATTAGAGATCAACCCAAAAAGAAATGCTTAATCTTTGTTATTTACAACAGCCAAGCCAGCATGGCCAAGGAAGAGGAAAGTTGTAACTCAGCAATGTGGGAAAGTCAGAGGTTCCTATTCCGTGCTAGATAATGTTACTATGATTCCTAGACAAAATGATGCATTGTATATCCAATATCATATTTCAGTATGGGTCATGTCTTTCATTTCCGTAACACTTGAAATATATTCATGTCAAGCCACTTCTGCAAAAGCCAGAATTATCAAAAATTCCCATTATGTGTGTGTCTGTATGTGTCTAAAAAATGTGAAATTAAACCACGTTTAAAACAATACAGGTAGTCCTTGACTTATGGCTGGTCACTTAGCAACCATTAAAAGTTACAACGGACCACCCCAAAAGATACTTACAATCCAGTTCCAAAGTTTGCAGCATCCCGCGATTACATGGCTATAAATTACCGCAGATTTGTCAAAAACTAGCATTAACTTCCAGTTTGCAGCAAAAAAAGCCCCATGGCGAACAATACATTTTGCTTAATGACCACAGCATTCACTTAATAAAACTGCCACAAAAACATATTAGAACATTGGGTCTAGTTCTATAATCTGCATTATGACCATAGGTAGGCTTCATTATGGTCACAAGTTGAGGCCTAACTGTAATTAAAAACATATCAGAAAAACCTCTCAGATATCCTCAACTTCATCAGCCAAATTCTGTTTAAATTCTGTTAATTAAAAAGATTTGTGCTTCTTGCAAGAACTATGAACATGAAGATAACCCATGTACCTGGTTTGTTGGGATGAAGGGCTAACATGGAAGAAAACACCTTGCTCAACTGTATTTTCTTGTTCTATAAGGAAACAGAAACCTGATTGTAGTTATGCATTTCAATATGAAACCAAATTATTTTCACCGCAGAGGACTTGAATTTTCTTGATCTAACAAGAGTAGAGACAGATGCAAGCCTTCGAAGGATTGAAGCAAGGATTGAACTCACTATATCTACATTTTCCATAATTAAGATTGGGAATGGCTGGGAATAATTAAATAGCACTAAATTTGGAAAGTAAAAGAAACAATATCCCTATTCACCCAGAAATGTACATATTCTCTTCCTTCACCCAGAAATGTACATATTCTCTTCCTTCTTGGCAGATTGTATGGGTTAATTGACTTAGCTTAATTAACAAACAAACCAATTTTGATTCTACAATTTTCATATGGCAAAGATTCTACGGCAATACTTGATATAATTTCCAGAAGGGTAAAAGGGTAAAATACTTCACTAACAGTGCAAGTCCCATAAATGGAGTATCAAAATTAAGTATTTTGTCCTGAATGACTATTTTGCCCACACCTGATGGTTTTGCTTCCTGCCCTTAACTAATTCCTCTGGAGAGCCAAAACATTTTATACTGCAAATGCTACATTCAAGCTGCATATTCCAATAAATGGGACAGTGCACCGCTGTATAAAAAAAATTAAAAGGAGGAAGCTCAGTTCAAATAATAAAATACAAGCTGATTACAATAAAATTATATCCACTCACCCATTCCTTGCAAAATGCAATATGAGACAGCCACAGCTGAAGGTCATCCTGTTGGAGCAAGAGAAAGGGAAAAGGAATCAGCTGAGAACTCATGACCACTCCTTCATTCCAATGCTCTCTAGATCAATGGTCTCCAACCTTGGCAACTTTAAGACCTGTGGACTTCAACTCCCAGAGTTCCTCAGCCAGCTTTGCTGGCTGAGGAACTCTGGGAGTTNTCTATCTATTAGTGGGGAAGGCCATCATACAAAACAATTAACTGAGCTCAGAACTGAAGAGAATATTCCAAACTGATTTCATATATTGAAAATTGGCATAGTCATTTTCTTTCCTTTGTCTTTTTTTAAATAAAGGTGATTTGGCAGAATTAAACCATACGTCATAATCCACAAAAGACTTTCTTCTTTAGTAGAAAGCCTTGTGACATTCTGATCTTTCTATCATACTCTGTCAAACTTGATCTATCATTCTTAATAAAAAGCAAATGGTGGTACAGAATCTTGAACTCTAATATTCAAGTACCTCCTAATCAATTCCATCTTTCAGTGAGATTCAAATCAAGGAATCATGTTCTTCTTTCCCTAATATTTATTAGCATTGCCATATATACCTCAAAAAAAACATGCCTGGAATTAAGCGGGGGGGGGGGATTACAGTGTTTCCATGAGAAATCAATTGCAATTGATTGGGGGGCATTGTTAAGAAAAATGAATATCTCTTCTTTAAACAATATTTCTAACATAGCCCAACAACAGCATTACCACATCTAATTTTAAGTCATGGTTTACCTTTCTGGTACAGTTGCTTTCAATGAGCAACTGAAGGGTAGAAAAAAGGCTTTAAAAACAAAGACCTATCACAAAACTCCAGCCCTTGCTAAGGATCAGATCCACACATCTTTTACAAACAATGTAAAACATTTTTTCCTCATTGGTTTTTGGTGCTTAGGCATTGGAAAGGCCATATTGCTAACCTGCTACAAAATCTTGGAATTGGATGGGTTCTAATTCAATGAAAGGAGGATCGAAAATAGGTTTTAAAAAACAACAACACCTGGTACATGTTTATACAGGTTATGATCTCTAGAAGTGCAAATGGAAGCAATGAAATTTTGTGATATCGTCTGCATCCCACCTTTCATAACAACCACTGCCTACGGATAAAAGTCCTTCCACTGTTTATCTGCTGTGTTTTCACATTCCTGATTTAGCAATGGAAGGACATCAAAATTGGGCAAGAAAAGAATGTGGGAGAGTTTCTTCTTAATCAGGCAATCTGCTTTGAAGCCCAGGTGCACACAACAGATAGGTGCTGTTGGATTCATTTATTAAACTATAGCAAGTGCAGGAAAGCATTGCACAAATATGCAATAATTGTTCTCACCATTAACTGAATGCTTCCACTTGACAATTTAAATTAATAAGTAACACAGAGAGAGAGAAATATTTCCACTAACAATGATTTCTTACTAAATCTATGTTTGCTTGCTCAAATTCTTTCTTCTCTTCCCTTTGCTTTTCTACATGCATCAGCTCCATTCTAAAATACTAGGAAAGGAAAAGAAAAAGGAAGGGGAAAGAAAAGGAAAATGGGGAAGGGGAAAGAAAAGGAAAATGGGGAAGGGGAAGAGAATTAATAATGTATCAAGATATTCAACATTACAAAGAACACAATCATAGCTTCCTGGTTAAAAAGCAGCCCTTATTAATACTGTGCTTAAAGCACTGTTAAATAGTTTATGCCACAGGATATTTGTATCCTGTAACTCAGTGGTCCCCAACCTTTTTATCGCCGCGGACCAGTCAGCCTTTGATAATTTTACCGTGGCCCG